AAGGTCATCTAGCGTAGTATTGGAGTTCTCAGGCTTGTGAAATCTTACTCTTCACTTTAATCTTCTCTTTAACCTCGACAAGACCTCGAATGATCCTCTTTTAGGACAGCAGACACTTGGGAGGCCGGCAGCTTGCTTTTCTAGTACAAGAACGCTCTCTGTCTCGCAAGACCGCCCAAGGCTTTCATATTTTCATATGCCTCCACCTTCGAAGCATCTTTACAACACAGTAACGGGCAGACAGACAGCCTAACTTAAGCTGTCTAATTTCGGAGCGCATTTGTTGATGCGTTCCTCCTTGCATTTAGGCTTCTCTGTTGTAATCCTATCGTATCTGCACTTACCTTTTTCCTCCTCCACAGTGGTGGCGTCATCACCGTTATTGTCGGAGGCCTTCCAAGGGCTGAACATTCCGATAAACACACAGTCAGTGTAATTGGGGGTGTGGACGAGCACGTGTGTTTCCAATTCAGCTCCCCGGTTCGTGACTTCGTCATCCTTCCTCCAAACAGTGGAAAATCAGTCAGCCCCGCAGCAGCCGCCACTACGGAGACCGAATCAGCTGAACGTCAACAGTCCTCTGCTGAGGAAGGGACTGCCACGGAAGAGGGTTAGTTGATCTGCTCAGCCCGTGCCATCACTATTGTTTATATGCCTCTAGCTCCCACATTTAAACCGACTAGCAACCTTACCAGTAGAGCCACCGATGACGAGACCCCTGTTCTGTTGTCTCACGATGCTGAATTTCAATTCTATTCAGTTTGTGGTTCATCCTAGACTCCACAAATTAAGATGATGGCCTAAATTAAATAAATTCGTGACTTACATCAGAAGATTTGTGAGATTTCTAACGAATTTTTCCCACTCTTGATCTGCTGCAGTTCGGTAGCCAAGCTGTCCTAACTGCGTACACAGATCAACATTACATGTTCCCATAAATATGCGTTTAAACAGTACAAAGTGAGTCGTGGAGTTCGCGAGTGAATTACAAATTCTTTTTGCTTGCAGCAGCTGCAGAAACTACGGAACCTCATGTCACCCAGCCGGCTACTCCCACGGAATCCGGCTACCTTTTGGTGCTCACCGAACGTGAATTGGTCGCCATAGATCTGACCCAGCCTTCCTGGCCGGTCATCCCCTCGCCGTATCTTGGATGCGTGAGCTGCTCACCTGTGACAGCCTCGGCCCACATTGCGGTAAGTCCTTGCACTTGAGATGTGCATATGCTGTTTCCCTTGTGCTGATTTCTTCTAATTAATTGTGGCTATTTTTTAGTTGCCAGAGGGTCTTAAAAAGCGTCTGGAATCCTGCGGAGGGGCCTCCGCCGAAGACTGCCCATTCAAGAACTGGCCTATTCGCGGTGGAGCCCTTGAGTGTACCGCAGAAGCAGCCAATGAGGAGGATGGAGAAACCGCTGTACCTGCTCACTGCTCCGCCAGTCTGGCTCATAACGCTTCCAACGACATGCTTGCCCTCGGCCACGCCAATGGTGATGTGAGCCTGTGGGCTTTGGGCCGTGGTGACTTTCTGCGTTGCCTCTGTCATGTGCACGTTTTCTCCGTACTGGAGGCTGGCGACGCCTGCCACACAGAACACAAGGTAAGCCCAATATTCTAGTAACTATATCTGCTAGTGGGACCTACGTTTGCACTAACATCCGTCCGTATGCAACACTGCATAGTCGAATAGTGCTAGTAATTGTCGAACTTTGTTTCACCTTTGTCGAGATATTAAACTTTGCTAGAACTTTGAGACGGTGTGGTTCTAGTCTGCAATGCACGTTTTTTCCCTTTAGGCTCTTCGTGACCTATGAGAAGGAGTCAAGGCTGTTCGGGAGATATATTTAACCATTTTCTGTAATGTAGAGCTGATCTCTTTCTGCTCTTAGGAGACAAAGTCGTACAATTATCCGTTCGACACAGACGCACACTAAGATATAACCGATGTTTGTTCGGTGATTGGCATTCTGAAATGTTGTTAAAGAAACACAACAACTCTTCACAAACGCTGGAATATGTTAATGCATGTTCTAACCCATGGCGGCACTATAACCCTAGATAACATCGATCATAGCCTTCCTTCTTCGTTATTTCACTAACATCGACCATAACCTGCCTGTCTCCCTTCCCAGCGAACCAAGTACAGTCCTTCCAGTCATTTCATCTGGCGATAGGTCATTAACAGCCCTTAAATCCACAGTTGAATTTCTAAATACTCTAAAAATGCTGGACTTCTTAAATATTCAGAAGATTACTTGACGAGTATGTTTGCTTTTGATGAATTGTCGTCGGGCCAATACATTCACATGAAAACGGGGTGGATTATAACATGTCAGTGCTCAGCGTTCGTCTTTAAACACAAGCGGTGTGTGCGAATATAGAGAGAATGCTAAGTCAATGCTAGGCTGGATGGGAAGAAGGTAGAATATGAATGATGCTATTTTCCTCAATTTATGACCGTTTACGTGTTTCTACGGAATTTCCATAGACACTTCTTAATGGTATGCATTATCCGTACACTTCGTCTGGGCGTTGAATATAGATAAAAGCGTCTAAACTGCCATAAAACAATAATTAACCAAAGCCTTCACCTTATTTGTTAAATGAAGTGTCTTAATGGATAGGCAAGAATGTGAAAATCTAAATCCCACGCCCCTCAATCCTTCCATTTGGCAGATAAACAATGCAGGGGAACAGGAATCTGGTGGCGACACCGGCTACAGTCTTTGATAGTGTTGACGGCAACCTAATGCTCTGACA